AAATGAGTGGTAATGATGGTTCAACAGTGTTGTCGGATAATTTGGCCACAGATAAGGGTGTTCCGCAAGGTTCTGTTTTGGGACCAAACCTATATGTTTTGTACTCTGCCGATATGCGCTCACACATTACTTATTGCAAATATCACATGTATGCTGATGACACTCAAATATACATTTCATTTAAACCCGAAGATATTGATCAAGCAATAAAGAAAATAAATTATGATCTGGCTAATATTTCAACTTGGTCCTCAAATAATAGTCTGCTGCTAAATTCAACTAAAACAAAATTTATGATAATTGGTACTCAAAAACAGTTGCTTAAAATTAACCCATCAAAAATTATAACACTTGATGGAGAACCAATCCAAAGGGTCTATGAAGCATGCAACTTAGGCCTGATTATGGATTGTAACTTACGTTTTGAAAAACATGTTAGCAGTTGTATCCAAAATTGTTTTTATAAATTAAAGGTTCTCTACAGGGTGAGACAGTTTCTTAGCGAAAGCTTGCGGGTGCAATTAGTAGACTCTCTAGTTTTGTCAAAATTGAACTATATGGACACTGTTTATGGTCCACGCTTATTCTCAAAAACACGAAAATTGATACAGCGAGTTCAAAATGCCTGTGCTCGATTTTGCTTTAATGTTCCGTTAAGGGCGCACGTGACTCCATTCTTGAACAAACAATCCATATTAAAAATGTGTCATCGTCGGAAACTGCATTTGGCTTGTTTAATGTTTGGCATAATTAGGCATAAAACACCTGCCTATCTTTATAACAAGCTCTCCGTGATGTCAAATAATAAGCCATATAGTGCCCGGCGGTTGGCTTTGCAATTGTCAACGGCCTTTCATGCAACTGCTGCTTTTCGAGGTAGTTTCCGCTATGCAGCAACCAGATGCTGGAATAATATACCTCCTCCAATTAGGGACCTGCAAAATGTCAAATTATTTAGAATAAAATTACGCAATTTACTTAATATGCATCAAAAATCTGAGGAAACACTCTTACATGACACTAGTGCAATTTAAAGATTGTGAGGAGATGTTCAACTTACATGTGTATCCGAAATTTGTTTATTTTAAAGGTATTTAATCAGAAGATATTTCTTGTATGTAAATGTGAATTGTCTTGCCGTTCGTCTGGTACTAAAAAAAAATATTTTTGTTTTTGTAAATTGTCTAATTGATAGATTACATTATTTGTTGAAGTTCTCCCGTTTTAGGAAAGGCAAAGGGAACAATGCCCATACAGCCTGGTCTTTAATTAAATTAATCTTCTTTTTGTTTTTACTTTTTACATTAGAATGTCGGTGTGACGCATTGTAATGTTTCTTGGAGTGTTTGGCACGAAATGTATCGAGTTGGCTTTTTCGATATCGCTTCTGTGAGGTAGTCAACACTACAATAAAATTCTCACGTCCACTTGACCGGAATAGCGTATATTTTAACGATTCCACTAATTCTTCAGTTACGCAGACAGTTGTTACACAAAACCACACCAATTTTATTTCACAATATCCACTATGAACGAATTTAAGAATAATTAAAATAAGACGCCAACCGCACTCGATGAAATCCCGCCAAAAACCATATTAGATTACAATAAAAAGAAAAAAGACAAATTAATAATCAGTAATACACAGATTAGTAAGATTGTCTCTGAATGGCAATGTCAGTCGGGGTCGCGTTCGGAACCTGCGCTCCGGTTGCAACCAATTTTGACATGGCGATAGTGGCGCCCCCCTGAAATCACATTGTTGTTGTTTTTTGTTTTTATTTTGTTATGTTTATTTTATTACTTGTTAATGTTGTTGTTTCGTGTCGTCACTAAACCGGTTCCAACGGAAGACCAGCGTTGATGGCAACATCAACACATGCTGAGTTGGGACCGATTTGAGACAAAAAAAAATATGTGTGTTTTGTTCTGTTTATTGTGTGTGTGTTGTCTAGAATAAATTTATTTTTCTTTCTTTCTTTCTTTCTTTCAATTTCGACCGCGCTGTTAGTAATATAGCAGCCACGGACCGCGAGGAAAAGAGACGGCTATATGGCGACGTATAACCATGGCGATGGTCGGTTGACCATGCATTTGAATATCACAATTAATTTTATATTATTAAATCAGTATTACATCAAAATTTACTTCAAATGCGTTAAATTAACAAACTGACTAGATACCTGTGGAAAAAACGATTTGTACTCTTATGTATTATTTTCGCATTTTTTCGTGGAGCTCTGTGGCATCTTGACTTTGTAACGGTCGGTAAGAAGTGCTTGAGTGGAGTTCAAGCACTTCTTTTTGAGCGCTCGTGGTGTATCTAGGGTATTTAATATCGTTGGTAGCAAGCTAAACTCTGGTGGCGTAGGTATGATACGCTTTCCGACCGTTTCTATGAAGATAGAATACTGTATATAATGCGATTCAAATAAGAATAGGAAAGCCAATGACCTCTATCTGTCAAATGTCGCTTGAAAAGTACGGTTTGCAAAAAAAAAATCTTGAAACCCTTTTTTAGCACTCCGCTAATTCAAGCATACAAACCAAACATTTGTAAACAAACAATAAGAAATATTGATAATTAATATCGGTTGATATTTTTTTTCACTTATTGGGTTTTGGCCATGAATGGTTGATAACCTAAATCGTCAACCAAATGTCACTTTAAGTTGCGTTCAGAAACTCGATTTCAAACTTTCGTTTACAAAAAGGATGCATGTTCGTATGTGACCCAGTAATAGTGCATGATTATTCATAACTACTCGGGCGGTAATGCAGAGATGAGCGGAATAGAAGAGCTAGATTCTGACTAATGTTTTTTCTAACAGTCTTAATAAATAAATATTATTAAAAATCGGTGAATTTTTTTCGCAATCTTAGTAATTAAACATCAAGCAGTTACATGCTTTAAAAATAATAAAAATTATAACTATAATTGCTATTTCTTCTTTCAAATGTTTAATACTTGTAAAAGTATTCATTTGACATTGTGGGTTTACCTATAATGCGAAGAGATGGCGCTGCCTTGCAGCTTAAGAATAGCTAGAAAGAATTTCGACGCGGTCCGTGAGGGCCGCGGTAGCATAATTGGTCAGTGCATTCGCCCGGATTGCGAAGGGTGCGGGTTCGAGTCCCGTCTGCTGCCTGGTCCGCGTGGAATTTTTTCTAGTTATATTTTCTTTAAATAAATGTTATTAAAAAAAATGATGCTTTTTCTACCTTAATATTAGTAAATAAGTTTTATTAAATAAATTTTTTTTGCCCACTCTACCTATTTGGTTTGAATTGACAGCTATGACATCACAATATGGCGCCCATTCGGTCCTATTCTTAGTTGAATCGCATTCTAGATAATATTACCGTGGTAGAGGTGCGTGAGGTCACGCGGCTGGTGGCTAGCGTGCGACCACGAGGACGTATGTGAGCTCAAAAGACGCGGAATTCGAAGGTTTTTAAGATGATTTAAAAATATTTTGGAAAAGTGGGTTTCGATTTTTTTTTGTTTTTGACAAAAATATTAGATTTTTGAAGTTATACTTCTTTAGGCGCGTTATGAAAAATTGATGAGAGTGAAATTTTAAGATGCGCGCGCATCACTGTAACACAAAATTTTAACATAATGAAGTTGGTCGCTTTAGCGACCAACTTCATGCGTTACTTTTGTGTTTACCGCAGATTAAGAAAATCTACCAACAAAATAGAAATGGAATCTCTATTTAGTGGGTGCTAACGACTGCATTGTGAAGGCCTATCAAAAGTATTTATTAATCTGGAACAACGGAACCAAAGCGCGATTCAGGAGACTACAGCGCCATCTCTTGACCATTGGTGTAGTAGAACAAAAACCACATCTTTATTTTTTGTAATAAAGCAACAAAAAGTATTTATTAATCTGGAACAACGGAACCAAAGCGCGATTCAGGAGACTACAGCGCCATCTCTTGACCATTGGTGTAGTAGAACCAAAAACCACATCTTTATTTTTTGTAATAAAGTAACAGTTATAGGTATTCATATTTATAATATTTATCCACATGTTTCTAGTTTGTATATTCGGAATACGTGTTTGAGTTTCATACAAGTGCAAATCACATAAGTTCTAATAAATTATATTCAGTAGCGATTTTAATTGAATATTTTGATTATTTATTAATTTTTTCAAATTAAAACTGAACTTTATTGACTTCGTCCTTTTCAAGACTTTTTATTAATTTATTGTAATTAATTATTTGCATGCAATTAAAAACTAATTTTAAACGATGCCAAAGAAGGATAACTTCTCACGCGCCTACATAAGTACACGCACCCATTTTTTTTTTAATAGGTACCTTTCATATGTTCATTTCAATACCCTTTCAAGTCGTGTTGAGCACGAGGTTTGTGTTTTTTTTTGTAATTTGACACAACTGGTTAGCTTTTCTTTTGGCTTTTTACATCGGAACAATGATTTTGTATGTTGATAATTTCCATTTATGTTAGAAATTCATAATTATTAATTGATAAATTTTTCAAAGTCCGTCACTGCGAATCTAATTTTCACCATGTCCAAAAGTATATCACTTCATAAAACCTGGTCGTGAGAATGATCTAGTTAAACTTATTATAATTTGTTTTTTTTTCTCGTTTTGTATTAGTATACAGGGTATATAGTATAGTATATACCCTGTAGTATATATATATATAGTATACTTGCAGGGGCCACACTATTGCCATAACGCGAAAATTTACGCTGTCAAATATTAATGCTATTTATGTATTATCATGATTTGTATTAACACATTCGATTCGTCTCATCTTGTCATCGTAGCCTTACTACTATTTACTATTGAAACGTGAAATTGTACTTATTGACTAGCTTGTTGACAATTGCCAAGAAGCTGGTTAAGAATAATAAGAAACTGGATTGCGTCATACATTAAATATAATATAAACTATAAAGCTGTATGAACTTTACATCCTTTGCCTTATGCAGGAAGGAAAGGATATTAAAAAATATAGAAAAAAATATGGGTTGACTTTTGTATAGTAATTAGGTACATAATTGCTCAGTGGACTTTTGTGTACGAAGTATGGAATCGAGGACGACTATGTTTTATTTTGTGACTCATGTTTGTAAGATAAGCTTTTTAGTTTAACACTATGTCTAGAAATATTGTTTTTGAGGGTTGGTTAACCAAATCACCGCCCTCGAAACGTATCTGGAGAACGGTGAGTTGAACATACCAAACATTTTATGTTGTTTCGTTTGTTGACTTAACGTGTATTTTCGGAGAATGCGTTTAAATTGCTTTTTTATTGCTTTATTAAAAGGTAAGCATTATTCAAGTTAGTTTGTAGTGTCGTTCGAATATTAAAATGTACACATTTTGACATCAACCAGAAATGGAGGAGAAGGTGGTTTGCCTTGCGCCAGTCGGGGGAGCTCCCAGGGCAATATTTCCTAGACTACTATGCGGATCGTAATTATAGACGGCTCAAGGGCACCATCAACTTAGATTTGTGTGAACAGGTACTTTTTAACTTTGTTTTCGTAAATTTTAATTTCACACAGTACAATATGTCTTTATTAAAAACGTCAAATCATGCCTAATAGAAAAAAAACTAATAATAATCTTGATATGTGAAGGTGACACAGGTTTTGGTTGTATTATCATATTTAAAACATAGTAATTACAACGGAGAATTTTTTAATCTGGTGCTTTTTAAAATGTAATATTTTGTAATATTGTTAAGCTCATAAACTTGTTTAACAAGAAGTATAGCATGTAGACTACTACATTTTACTAAATCTACCATCCTTATTTCAATTTTCTGTTGTTGATTATAAATCTGTAGTAACTTTGTTTATTGTGATCTATATAATCAGTCTCAGTGGAAACAGTGTACCTACAGGTATGTAGGTTCTGTTTTTATAAGTCAGATTGTTAGTATTCAAGAAATTATTAAATAATGAGGAATAATGTATTATTAGTCAACACTTATTTTTAGTAACACCAAATATTTATTAATTGTTACCTATTGGCCTTTATTTCCTGTTAATGTTTTAGGTAAATTCACAGTATTTGTGTAATTCATTTGTAAAATTGAATTGTTTGAGTTTAATGTGAATGTTAAATTAATATTTTAAACTTTATGTTTAAACATATTAAAAAGGCCATGGATAAATCTATCTTATGTGATTTATGTGGACTAATGAATTGTCAGTATTAGTGTTTGGCTTATTATCAGAACACAGTACTTAATTCAGTTGAACTTAGGAAGTTACTTAAAGAAAAAATTGACTACAATAACATACTATTAAGAAAATATAATTAATCATAATAATGAATTTTTTGTGTGCATTAATTTATATGAACTTATAGGTTGACGCAGGTCTCCACATGGAGCGTTCAGGAAATGGTTCATTGGATCCCAAAGTTCGTGGTTCTGTGTTTACTATACAAACACAATCAAGGATTTATCACTTGGAGGCAGATTGTAAGTCAGATATGGAAAAATGGGTTGATGCAATTTGCAGAGTCTGTGGTCTTCGAGCAACAGATGAATCAGATGAAATAGGTAAGTTCTCTAGAATATTTACTTTGTTGTAATGACCATATATTATCTTTAATTAGTTTTTTAAGATTTTTATGTTGTTCCAATGCAATTGTTATATTGATATCTTTAATATCAATCAATATGTGTAACATTCCATGGGTAAAGGTACCTTATGGTCGATATTCAGTTAAGCAGGTCTTTGTAATGTGCGACTAAAAAGCTATTCAAATCAAAAAGAATTATCCTCGTAATATGTGTAGTTACAGTTATATATTTTTTGAAAATGATTTACCAAATTGCACTTTCAGGAAATTTTTTTTTAAAGGACAATTTTTTTTTCTTGTTGGTAATTAATTATGCCTCCTGAATGTTGCCTGGAAATGGTTATGTTAAAATTTATGATATTTTTGTAATAAAGCCCCCATGTTTTTTTTTTTATATCTGTATTATATATATACAGAGCAGAATGTATAACAGACATTTCACTTTAACGTCATTTAGCCCACTAGGGCATTTTACTTGAAAATCCATTAGATACAGAGGGAAAAAATTACAGTGTATACAAAATGACAATAAACAAACTACTACTATAATATACAAGCTTCACAATATACTTTAGTAATTTATTTAAAATAGGTGCATGAGACTTGGGTTCCTTAATACAGGGATGTCGTAGGTCATTTGATGGTAGATGATAAGTGTTACATAATTAGTGTTCTTGTTCTTTTGTATGTACACTTCACGTTTATGCATTCATAAATATATTTTAATATTTTTAACTCTTATGAATATATTGCAAAGCATTTTTGTTGATCACACAATATCTCATTTGTTGTGTTGTGCATGTGCTGTGTAAAATGTGATATTTCAATAAAACATATGAAACAATTATAATGATTATATTCCAAGTAGTATTCCCTTTATGTATATAAATATTTAACACAATACACCTTTAGTTTTTTTTATATGAGATTCTAACATGTGATTATTATGTACCCAAATAATATCATTTTGATCTTTGCTGTGCAATGTGGATTTCATTCACCAATACCCACTGGGTCAGTGTGGAGGATCATGGCCAAATCTCCCTATTCCATCCATAGGCAAGGCCTGTGCCCAGCAGTGGGGACATTAATGGCACATATACAATACAATGGCACATTGGCAAACATGCCATTGTATTGGATGTATAATTATAATTTTGATAGTTTTATTTTATTTTAGTTGTTATTTACCCTTCTTATAAGTCCATGCATTTACTCAAAGCTTCTAAGCGAATTTAATAATTCTATAAACATACAACCCATGTATTGCTAAGTGTTTAGAATTATTGTGGACATCTTGTCTTTATTAATTTAAGATGTTGCCAAACCTGAATGTTTAATTTTGCTTTCAGGGCACTATCAAAATAATGTAAATGCAAACAATGTATCTGCATTAAATGAACAGAAAGAGTGCGCCGATACCACTGGCCCATATATACCAATTTCTGAATGCAGAACAGGAGTTCGTGCGCAGGTAACCTTATTAAAAAAGAAATGTAATGAAAATCAATAAAAGGGTTGATTATTATTTGATGAAAAATATACATATTTTCTTTTAATATTTGTCTCAATTGGCATATTTTGAAACTGATTTAAACTCAAAACAGTAAGAGCGGCCTTACACGGGCTGACCAAGCAGTTAGCCAATGATCAACACAGACTGCTCGATTAGTCAGAGTCAACAGCTTGAAGCTGTCATTTTACCGCGCTGCCCGACGCAGTCGCAACTGCTCAAACGGTTCCGTGTATGTGCGAACGTAGAACACTCTATTTCACTTTAAATTTCAGTTCATCCTGACCGCTTCAAGCTGACCGTGTATGGCCACTCTAAAGTGCCCACATTGTTTGGACAGAAAACCCAATTAAGATAATTATTATATCGATTAACTTACAATTTATACTTAAGTATAATTTCTTGCCCTGTATTCGTATTATGTACAATTGAAACAATATTCGGTGTACTAATCTCATTAAATAATACGTTGGTATTGGTATTACTAACAATGTCCTTATCATGTTCGACAGATACTGATATGGAGAGACTGCTGTTAATTTTAGTTATAGTTAGTGTTACATAAAACTCGTTTTATTTTAGAAATTATTTTTTTTAAATATAAATATCCACATCACAAGGTTACAATACACAGAATACCACGCGCTCGCGCATACGTGGGAAATCCCCCATCACATCTGTCAGTTCATTTTGACAACTAATGCTGTCGAACTTAGAGCTAAACAATAGGGAGGTTGCTAATCGATTAAAGTTCGGTTATTTCCTCTAACAGTAGACCAGACTTCCTACACAAACAAAGATAGGGCCAATGCCCACTTTTTATGGGAATTTCGCTTAACATGGACAGACATTTTAATGAGTAAAACTATATAAAGTAAGAAGCTTAAACTGCCCAAAACCTTAGAATCATTATAATTTTGTATCAGTATACCTACTTTAAAACAAATGTTTAGCACCACATAGAAAAAAAGTAATATAAGCAATAATAACCCATTTTCGCATTGATTTACAATATTCGAAGTCATATAATAATAGCAATACGATGTCTAGACACTAGGAAGGTAATTTTCTTTTACACAATTCAATAAAATTGAAAATAAACTGTTATTTAAATATGTCACGGAATTATACGGAATAAATTTGTGCAATATGGCGTGCGACGACATATCACATGTATATTACCAAAACTCTTAGCAAAAAAACGTAGCTTGTTTTTTCAGCTTGCCTGCAAATGCCATCTTAAGGTGAAGATGGTTGTTCTGGCAGTTCATAATTGCTGCACCAGCTATCTTCGCGTCTGGTCTTTACCACCACTTAACATCAGGTAGGGTCTACCTAGCTACAAAAAAAAACCATGTGTCTTACATTGTATGTATTGTTCTCCCAAGAGTCCTTTGAAGTTTGCAATTGTATATTTCCTGTGCATTTTTAAATTTATGGTGGATCATTTAGATATTTTCCAGAACCAAATACAAAATTTTTGACAATGTTCTTAGGAAACCATTTTTAATTAAACGATAAAAGGTTTGTAATTATGAGTTCTTGAAATTTTTTGTTTGATATGTTGCAGTGACAGTTATATTATTTAATAGAAATAGATCAATCAGATGATTTTTGTGACTGTATTTTTCATTTGTTATTATTTTATAGTACACTAGCGGTCCGCCCTCGCTTCGCTTCGGTGTAGAGCTGAAGTGTAGACTACAGGTTTTGTTCTCAGGCTTGTATTATACACAATGACATTCATCTATGATTCTTCTTATACCTGCATGCAAAGTCTCAGCCCGATCGGTTTAAAATTGACAAAGTTTCATACAAACTTTCATTCCCTATTTTATCCCCTTGGGGGTAGAATTGATCAAAATCCTTTCTTAGCGGATGCCTACGTCATAACATCTACCTGCATGCCAAATTTCAGCCTGATCCGTCCAGTAGTTTGGGCTGTGTGTTGATAAATCACTATGTCAGTCAGTCACCTTTGACTTTTATATACATATATAGATAATAACGGTCATTTTTGTTACCTGTATTTATAACCAAACTAAAATTCTCATATTTCCGTTTTCCAGTACTCATTTTCTACACGTTTTACATGATTTATTTGCTAATTTTGTTTACAAATGTTTGGTTTTTATTCTAAGATAAGCACGGTTTCTCAATATCAATTATTGTCTGTCAATAAGGTCGAACGCTCTGAACGCATCAACAGCCAAATATTGAAAGAAGCTCGCTTTCTTTTTTTTTTGTTTCCTCCGAGGCGGGGGAGCGGGTGTGAAATCCTCATGGATACCCTACAGCCGGCTGTAGAGTTATGTCAGACTCTTACTGACTAAAACACACCCGTGGGGGGTGCCTATGGCCTTAGGGGCCTTACAGGCTTCATCTGATGCGATCAACCCCTGAGAAGGGGATGATGCAGCGCTGCCTTAGTAAATACTGCATAGTGCGCTTAGAGGACGGATGCACCCTGATGTGCATCCGTATCGGTTTGGGACTGAGCGACTGAAGGTCTCTCAGGATCGGGGGGGCGGGGAAGCTCGCTTTCGGACCTCCCGCCTTTTTATACTCTACCGCGCCGCCACGACCCGTGTCGAGCGCGGCAGCCGTTACACAAAAAAAAAAGGTAAATTTAAAAAATCAAAAAACCCGACTGCTTAATTATACTTCAAATAAAAACTGAAAAGAAAAAAACAAGCCCAGTAGTCTATAATTCTGTTAATAAGGAACAAAGCTACTTTAACAGTCGGGACCCACTGTTTAAAAATATTATGTATTCTTGAATATCTAATGGGTCCCGACTGTTAAAGTAGCTTTGTTCCTTATTAACAGAATTATAGACTACTGGGCTTGTTTTTTTCTTTTCAGTTTTTATTTGAAGTATAATTAAGCAGTCGGGTTTTTTGATTTTTTAAATTTACCTTTTTTTTATCTTTTACATAGTACACCGCGCTATCACTTTGTCATCGTTGTAACTTTTTAAATATTCGTCGAAATGACATAGTGTAAAAAGCAAAGTTTATCGTCTTTAAATATCAACAGCGATTAAAGTGTTTGTTTTGATAAAAAAATATTTGTTAATACAAATGTGCATTTGGGAAATAGATATCAAATAATATTTTAGTTTTGTTCACTATTTTAGCGGTAATGACTTACACATTAAAAATAAATATATGGTGTCACGGACTTTTTTTTAGAACTATTTAAGAGATACATTTTCACTCTACATTACATTCATGTAACTTTTATTGTTTTTGCAGTGCAGGCCAAAATGGCTCACAGATGGGACATTTTTTTCCGTCTTATGTGACACTTATTGCTATATATTGGCCAATTCACTCAATAACTACATAAATTATTATATATATGTAATTATCATATATGAGCTATATTACTGTTAAGTTTCAATAAAATCCATTCAGTATTTTTTAGGTGAAAGAGTAACAAAAATCCATACAAACGTAAGATTGAAATTAAAAGTGGAAGTGGTTAATATACAACTTTAAAGCGTTGTAGATCCTAAACAATAATATAAAATGAAAAATGGTATTAGAAACCTAAATATGATTTTTGATTATCTAGACAGTGATACCCCACTCGACATATTTTGTCAACTTATTTTTTTTACTTCGTCACAATATGGCGCCTTATTTTGCCCATATTGAATTTTGATTACTATCATATCTTTAGTAGCACTCCCATGATTGAGACGAATCGATTGATGTATGAATCATCAAAATCGGTTCAGGCGTTTGGTCTCTAGTGTGCCACAAAGGAACAAACATACATATATAGACTGTTAAACACATAACCCTGTCTGCGCGTCGCGCTTCGCGCTCTTGCATTGCGCAGCCGGGTAATAATCCTTAAAGCATGATTCAGTATTCACGTGCGACGGCGCGATGGCTTATTTCATGTATAAGTTTGGTGTTTCTATACCGATTTCTATGATTCTTTTTTTATTGAATAGGTAATAATGTTAACTTTTTTAAATTAGGGATGAGTGAGAGTATTATAAACGTAAGAGTAAACAAATATAATCAGAATGCTCCGAACTGCTAAGCTATCAGGAGTTACACGTGTTATTGTGAGTCAACCATAAAAGATAGACATATGCTGTTGCGGGATATTTTCTAGAAAATTTTATGTAGAATATTTCCGTCATACATGATTTCTATGTAACTTTAACCATTAAGGCTGCACACGCGACGGAAGCTTAAAAAATGGAGTAACTTCTCCCGTTTTCCCAACATTTCCCTTCACTACTCTGCTCCTATTGATTGTAGCGTGATGAAAAGTATACTATAACCTGCCCAGGAGTATGAAGAATAATTGTACCATGTTTCGTTAAAATCCGTCGAGTAGTTTTTGTTTCTATAAGGAACATACACACAGACAGACAGACAGACAAAAATTTTACTGATTGCATTTTTGGCATCAGTATCGATCACTTATCACCCCCTGATAGTTATTTTGAAAATATATTTCATGTACAGAATTGACCTCTCTACAGATTTATTATAAGTATAGATAGTTACGTACTGTAATGACAGTTTTACCTTAAATTTTACCTTAAACGGATTTAAAAGTAAATTAAAAATCTGTGCACTCACAGGTTTCAAAGTTTATCTGCGAGGTTTTGCTGATTAAAATATGCTCTTTGGCCATTTTCCAGATCGAGTTAATCGAATGCGCGGTAAAAATAATTCATATAAAAACTTCGGTACCCGCCAATCTCCCCTTTAGGGGTAGTTTAGGTAAACTAAATATGGCAAATTTTACTATTTATTAAGAGAAGTATTCGTACCAAGTTATAATTCTATTAACTCAAAGAATAAGATTTTTCATACAAACTGTCGCCGCCTTTTTTATCCTCTTAGGGGTAGATTTTCGAAAAACCCTGATACACGTTATTATTATTATCTCTATTAAATATTGTATTTGTTCTGGCATTTTATATATTAATAGGTTATAAATGTCATGGTCCCCACATATTAGTGAAGTCAGTAAACGTATTCACTACTCATTTCACTCCCTCAAGCGGCTTAAATTTTTCTGCCCTTCAAAACCAAAATTAGCTGGCGCAATCACTCCTTCTCCCCATTCTCGACAGCGCCGATATTTGCTACTTGGATGTAACTGAAGATCAATTGAATAAGCTAGAGCGTCTCCAAAATTTTGCAATTCGTTTCATATTCGGATTGCGTACATATGACAGAGTTTCCGCTTTTCGCTCTCAATTAAAATGGCTTTCCATTCGCCTTCGACGTGATATGCATATCCTATGAATCTTGTTTAAAATCTTCAAAGAACCTATTTCTTCTCATTACCTTGTTTCCCGTTTCAAAACGCTTCCTACTCCTCGTCCTAAAAGGTCTTGCAACACGAAGACACTTGTACTACCAAAAAGTAATACCAACTTCTTTTTCCATTCCTTTTCTGTTCGTGCTGCTTTACTCTGGAACAAACAAAAAAATCAGCATAAACGTTTGTCAAAACAGTGTTTCAGTGCGCCGTATGTATTATTGTTAATAATGCATGCTGCGCATCTTATAACACATGTACAACTGCACATAATACTCAGCTGGTTCTAAACTTTCGTTTGTTATTCGTGTTAAAGGATTCGCAGAGGGCGTTTACTTTTGACCCCAAGAACATAATCACGAGTGCGAGACACCCGCTGGAGAGGATGGCTGAGTACCGGGAGCACCACATGTACACCAGCCAGCCTCAGATCAGACTCAACAACCAGGACTCGGAGAACGATTCCACTTTGAGCGATGAGGAGTGCAAGTCGCTGAATGCTAGTCAATCAAATATTCGTATGTATCCTATGATGTTTTATAGTTAGATATACATCATACACGCTTAAAATTTGGCAATACGAGAGTCTGGCGGCGAGTGAGCGTTCCCGACTGAATGTAAGTCTCTCACTCGCCGCGGCGACACTTCGCTATAACGCATAAATAATTTGTATTTCTAGACAAAAGGCCCTATGTGTGTTTTTATATAGTACACAAATTACACAGTAAATAAGGGACAAGAAACACGTGTTATTTTATTCGTAGGTACAGTTTGAAAGAAATTAATGTAAACATATTTAGTAATTACTTATTTTAAAAGTTGCTGACACCGTTGACACATGGAGGCTAAAGAGCGAGCTGTTATCTGCTTTATTCATGAGAGTGAAAGAGACTAATTTATTGCGCTCTTTTGGCGATTGTTGCCAGAGGAAGTTTGGGTTGGGAACTACCTGTCTATTTATTATACGACATTTTATGTATCGGTTACTTTAATTGAGTGTAGCGTTAATGGTTTATCTTTTATTTACATTAATGCTCTTAAGAATTAATAGCAATTTGTTCTGATGACAATAGTAAAAAAGTAAGTCATCCCGATTTACTTTTTTTTCGTACATCAGGTAGATTATCAAAAAGTATTGCACACATATTTTTTTATTTTTTCACACAGGCAAAACATTCGTCTTAATACTTTTGGTACAATTTTTACTTGAAGTGACGCCACGAGTCTCGAACTTTGACGCGCTTTATCTTTGTAATTTTTTGGTTGAGTGACAAAAGAATAAATAAGTGACACTTATTTTATGATAAACTAACTGACGGACTATATAGAGGGTCTTTCAACAAGGACGGGTCGATGTTAAAATTAAATAAAACAAGCTGTGTGTGAGATATTAAAGAAATATTTTTTTATTTTAAAGGCCCATTTATGCCATTATTTATGAAATATGACATCGTTTAAATGTCCACCGCGGCTTCGAACGGTGGTACGGATCCGAGAGGTCCAATTTACAATTACTCTACTCACTACTGCATAGATCCGGCTGAATCTGAGCAATGGCCTGCGTTATGTTGACTTTCAGGGCATCGGTTGATTGCGGATTATTAGCCGCGACTTGAGAAAACCTCACAAGAAAAAGTCTAGGGGTGTCAAATCGCACCCCCTTGGTGGCCAATTGACGTCACCTCTGCGAGAGATAACCCTACCCTCAAACCGTTCATGCAGAATGTCTATTGTGCCGCTCGCTCTGTGGCACGTAGCGCCGTCTTGTTGGAACCACACGTTGTCCACGTCCATATTCTTCAATTCAGGCCAAAAGAAATTTGTTAATCATTGATCTATAGCGCTCGCCGTTGTCAGTAATGGCCTCGCCATCATCGTTTTCGAAGAAGTACGGACCAATGACGCCGCCGGGCCAAAATCCGCACCAATCAGTAACTTTTGTGGATGCATTACCACCTGGTGAACCTCATGTGGGTTGTGGTCGTCCCATATACGGCAATTTTGCTTGTTAACAAAAATATTCATCCAAAAATTCGCCTCGTCGCTAAAGATGATTTTTCGGCCAAAATCGGGGTCCTCTTCCAAACGTTCTGTAGCTCAGTCAGCGAACAAACGGCGTTATCTATGGTCATTCACTTTGAACTCTTGGGTCAGTTGGATCTTGTACGTGGGTAGGCCAAAGTTTCGATTCAAAATTTGCCAAGTTGAAGTCTGCGAAAGGCCGAGTTCTTGTGCACGGTGAGAAATCGACTGCCTCGGAGTCTCCTGCACACTCTCACCGACAGCGGCGATGTTTTCGGCCGATCTGGCGTTCCTTTGACGTGTAAGGGTGTTGGTTGGTTGCTTACCGAACCAGTCATCTCGAATTTGGTCACCAAACGATGGAGAGTCCACTTTGAAGGGCCAGCGCGTCTGCCGTAAAATGAACGTAATGCGCGCAACGATTGCACTAACGAACACTTATTTTGATAATAAAGTTTTATCATTTGGACGTGCTGCTCAATCGTGTAACTTGCCATGGTGATTTGGCATCCGTAACTGAAGAAATAACAACGTATTTGCAACGCAACGCAGATGCCGCCAAAACAACATGGCCGCCACAAACTACCAACATCGACCCGCCCTATTTGAAAGACCCTTTAGAATTTCGTTTACTCTTATATATGCATATTAGAAATCATATACTATTACAGCATATTAGAAATATTTATTCTCGATAAAACATTTAAGCATCAATAGGCTACATGTAATCTAATGCTTAATAAAATTTTCTGGTTGAATACCTAATAATGATTAAAGTACATAAGTGTAAATTGTTAATTACTTTGCGCATTATTTAATTTATATATGATTTATAAATAAAATATTGTCTTTAAAAAAATCGTTACTGTATTATAACTTGAGATTTTTTAAATAATTATTTTAGATTTATTACACTAAATCATATTTTCAGATGACTACTCCGTTTCAAAAACGTTCACTAAACTAACCATCAGTCCTGAAAAAGATGAATTACCTGAAGACGGTTTGTATAGATTCTAGAGGCCCTTATTATGAGACGTGAATTCAAATATTAACAATTATTTTATTTATCTAACAATGTTGAGACTTTACTTGACGTTTTGTAACAAGGGGTATAAGTTTATTTGAGTATACTTCATTTGCTCATTAATACCTAATTGGATGTTTTTAGGCCCTCCTGTGCCGCCACGCCCACCTAAAACGTTTTCTAGGAGCAAAGAGCTCTTTTACAAAGAGACATATCAAGGTCCTAAATTTCTAGAGCCACCTGACACTCCAGATCCTGTAAGTTTAGAAATTAGACATATGTGTTCCTACAGTGAATAATGGTCAAAGCTGCACGACATTAACGCTTTATACAATAATTAGCGGCCCGCCCTCGCTTCGCTTCGGTGTAGAGATGAAGTGTAGACTACAGTTTTTGTTCTCAGGCTTGTATTTATACACAATGACATCCATCTATGATTCTTCTTATACCTGCATGCAAAGTCTCAGCCCGATCGGTTTCAAATTGACAAAGTTTCATACAAACTTTCATTCCCTATTTTATCCCCTTGAGGGTAGAATTGATCAAAATCCTTTCTTAGCAGATGCCTACGTCATAACATCTACCTGCATGCCAAATTTCAGCCCGATCCGTCCAGTGGTTTGGGCTGTGCGTTGATAGATCACTATGTCAGTCAGTCAGTCACCTTTGAGTTGTATATATTATTATGTCGTGGCCATATCGTAGTTTTGCTCACTTCATGAAATGCTCGAGAATTTCATGAAATGGTCACATTTCATGATATGGCCAACTTGATTTGACCAGATCATTAAATCGTCAACATTTAACGATTTGGTCATCCACATTTGGCCGGATCGTATAATTAGGGTGTCCATAAAATATTTATTAAAAATCCAGAATATGTAAGAACTTGTTTATTGTTATTTAAGTCCGAATGACAAACAAATTTAATTAAATTTTTGTAACAAATAAAACAAATTAAAGATTTTTTTTCTTAAATTAAATATCAAATATGTCAAGAACTTACACATTTATATTTATAAAACTATCAAATATTTAGAAATAATAAGGTACTTTGGTACATATTACAATAGTAGACTTAACTGTTCTTCCAGGGCCCAAACGGTAATACTTCACACTAGGTTAGGTTAAGTTAGTATTGTGACCATGACGCGCGAGCCGAGCGAGCAAAAGCACTAGAAAAAAAAACTCTATTAAAACAGACCTTTTCTACAAAATAAATTCAAGTTTCACCTTTTAGGCCCTGAAAGTACAGTTTTACAGTATATCTTTGTACGGCATTGATTCTCATCCGCACTTTGTACCTCAACCGCAGTTTCCAAAATGTCATATTTTGACAGCCAGTCAATAGTCCATAGATTTCTTTTGCGTAGTCACCCTACTCTCCTTAATTTTTTCGTCGAAAACCCTTTTGTTAACTTTCTTCCTCATTAAATAACGAATTATGCACTTTTTCACTGCGAGAAACAACATTGTCAGCAGCGGCTGCCATATAATAAATAATGCCATATAAATATATAAACGAAGCGCTTGCAGCGCCTCTACCGGTAGTTAATGTAACTACTTTACAATATGATCAAATAATTTTTGCCATTTCATGAAGTAGCCACGCGTTTAGTTGACCATATCGTGAAACGATTTCTCATCATTGATCTGCCCAAACCACATCATGATGTGGCCAATAGATAGTGAAACATTTCACGAAATGCGACCATTTCATGAAATTCTCGAGCATTTCATGAAGTGATCAAATCTACGATATGGCCACTACATATATATAGATCTCCGTTTTCCAGCCTACTTTCTTTCAGGTGCTAGATAGAATGAGGTGTTGTAGGGGGCTTTGTAACCAGAACACCTCTAGCAGCAATATTAAATAATAGTGAGGAACTAAATGAAAGCTGCATGCATGCATTTATTGACGTGTCCAAAAAATACCTGTGCTGTTCTTCACAATATTGCATTATTGGCAACGTAAATACTTCGCCCTAATTGTATGGGTCCTCATACTTCTACGTAATGTATTTATTTCTATTTGTCTTTTTGCACATGTATTCGCAGCAAGGTTTTTACTATGAAAAATCCAACTTGTCTCAGTCGCAAAAGCTCATTTTTTCTTTTGTGTATTAAAAATACGTATATATTATTGACTAAGTATACTATATATTTTTCGGTTATAGAAGAATATATTTTTAATACTTTTTACAGTCTCTTCTTGAGTTGACGTATCTAAGCCTCAATAATTTTTTTTTTTTATTCCTCAAGATCTGCAATCAGTCGAAGACTATAAGCAAATTTGTTGTGTGAATTTGATGTCTTTTCCTAAGTGTATCTCCCATTGGAGATATCTACTCCTGCTACATTACCTAGGTCTAGTCGGTTTCTAGTATTACACGGCGTTTCAACCGTGTCTTTCTTTTTGCTTTAATTAGTTGGCAAGCTAGGTCATTCGGGTGATTAATAAGCCTCCTCTTGTATGACTGTGTACATTGTTGGATCTCTTCCCTTATGGTTCTCATTTGCAGATTATCATGTAGCTCGTTATTAGTGATAAACCATGGGGCATCTGACATGGTTCTTAAGACAATGTTTTGGAATCGTTGCAATATGTTGATATTCGAGTCACTAGCACTTCCCCACAGCTGAATGCCATACGACCAACACGGCTTCAGAATGCTTTTTAAATTTGCAATTTGTTGTCGATAGACAGTTTAGTATTGCGTCCTATCAACCAGTACAGGTTTCTATATTTGAGGTTGAGCTCGTCTCTTTTTGTTTTTATATGGGTCTTCCATGTAAGTCGCCGATCCAAGTGCATGCCAAGGTACCTTACGGAATCATAATGTTTAAGTATATTTCTGCCAAGGTGAACTGGTGGGCAGTTATCCCGTCTCAGTGTGAAGGTAATATGTACAGATTTATCAGCACTAGCTTTTATCCGCCATTTGTTTAGCCAGGTATTTACTTCATCTAGTCCCTTCTGAAGCATTGCTGAAGCTAAGACTGGGCTGTCATTCTTTGCCAAAATGGCTGTATCGTCAGCATAGGTTGCCATTGTAGTTCCTGGCACTTCCGGTAGATCCGATGTATAAATCGTGTAGAGTATGGGGCCAAGAATTGATCCTTGGGGCACTCCTGCTTTTATCTCATAGAAAAGCGATGTGAAATTATCCTCCTTTACCTGAAAGAGCCGATTCAACAGGTATGACACCATGAGAAGGTAGTAGCTGTGTGAGATATTTGCTTTGATTTTGAAGAGCAATCCATCATGCCAGACTCTGTCGAAAGCTTGTTGTATGTCTAGGAATGCAGATGAGCAATATTCTTTATCTTCTAGAGTATTTCGTATCACTCTGCACACTCTGTGAACCTGTTCGACAGTCGAATGAAGGTCCCTGAATCCAAACTGATGGTCCGGAATTGTTTTATTTTGTGCAAGCATTGGCATAAGTCTAGATTTTACGACCTTCTCGAACAACTTCGATAAAACTGGTAATAGACTTATCGGACGATAAGAAGTAATTTCATGCGCTGGTTTTCCCAATTTCCGAATCATTATTATTTGTGATATCTTCCATATACTCGGGAAATGTTGTACTCGCAAGATGCCATTGAATAATGTTGCCAAAAAGATTACTGCTTTCCTTGGGAGGTTTTTTAAAACTTCCTTCGTAATTAAATCGAAGCCTGGCGCTTTTTTGTCCTTGAGACTCTTTATTAGGGCCCATACCTCTCTAGTTGAAGTTGGCTTGGGTGGCAAGTCCAACTGCAAGTCTTGGTTTAAAAAGCTCTGCACGCTCTTATCAAAGTTCACATCTCCTATTTCATTGGGAGTAAACACTTTTGAGAGATGTTCCGCAAATACATTTGCTTTTTCCTGTTTACTTCTGGCCCATTTGTTTGTAGCAGTTTTTATAGGAGGTTTCGCCTCTTGAGGTCGATCTAAGGATTTGGTAAACTTCCAAAGAGAATAATTTGAGGCAGATGTAGCTGTTAGAGATTCCAGTTTTGACTGCAGGGTGTTATGTTGCAAGTCCGATAATGCAGTTTTAAGTTCAGCAATAGATTTGTTCAAGGCAGTTTTATCCATTGGATGCCTGGTTTGATGCCACACTCTTCGCAAGCGTCTTTTCTCCAGAATTTTTTGTTTTATTTCTGGGGGATGAATTTCCAAATTATTTCTTTTTTTTATTTCCGGAGTGCATTTCCAACACGCTTCTTGGATTAGAGTCGTTATATAGTGGGTAGCATTTTCAATATCCTCTGGTGTCTTTAGTGCCATTTTTAGCTCTAGATTTTGGTCTATATATTCTCGAAAGTAATCCCAGTTTGTATACTTGTTGGTTAGTGTCGGATATGTTTCGTACTCTATAAGAGTCTTGCTCACCGTTAGAATCACTGGAGTATGGTCCGAGCAGCTATCAAGACTAGATTCTGATCTGAAGTAATGCTTGGAGAGACCTCCTACAACAAAGAAGTCCAGAAGGTCTGGTATCTTATTGATATCAGTAGGCCAGTATGTCGGTTCTGCAGTTGATATTACTTGTAGGTGATTCGAATCAACGCAGCTCTTTAGTTGTCGACCCCTAGTTGTTATCAGTCTAGATCCCCAATGAGTATGTTTTGAGTTCCAATCTCCTCCCGCAATAAACCGGCGTCCAAGTGATGCGAAGAAAGAGTTGAACATACTTTGATCGATTTTATGTTTTGGCGGGCAGTAAACAGAGGAAACGTTGAAGAAGCCGCATTTGTCTTCCACAGCAACGGTGGTTCCTTGTAGGTAATCAGTCTTAAACGCCGGCATGCAGTGGTGTTTTATGGTCTTCCGGATTATTATAGCTGTCCCTGCATGGGCTGTTCCATCCGGGTGATTGGTATAATAGGTGTTAAAGCCCTTAAAGTTAACGCTACTTGAACTTGTACAATGGGTCTCTGTAACAAGTACTATGTCAAGTTTGTGCTCATTTATTAGGACTTGAACGTCGTCTTTGTTCGGTGTAAGTCCATTTGCGTTCCATGTTGCCAGTTTGATGCTACCTATTTTGATATTTTGTTTATCAGTGTTGTCAAGAGACCTAACATGGTACTCATTTGTTGTAATATTAATTCGAATTGTTGTGATTGCTTTGAGAGGATTTTTTCAATGTTATTTATTGGTATGGATTCTGACTTAGCTATATCATTTTGAGGATTATTCTTATTTGAAACCCAAGGCGGTGGCCCATTAGTCCATGAGTTACCTTTTTTAGTACCTTCAGTACTCATGTTTTTTGAAGTACCAGTGTCCATCGTTTATTTTGATTGAGGGCGTATAAATTCAGCTTTTCTTATCGAGGGTAGAGATGTTATTTTACGAGCTACAATTTCTTGGTATACTGTGCATCCTTTATAGTTTGCCGGATGAGGACCTTGGCATAGGGCACATTTGGCAGGGGTGTTTCGGTCACGCTTTATGCACTCAGATGTTTTATGTGATAGTGCGCATTTAACACAACGGAAGAGCCTCATGCAGTAATTCTTTGTGTGTCCATACTGTTGACACCTCTGACACTGCACTATTACCTTCCTTCTCTTTGGGTCTTCTATCTGGATAGATTGGTGATAAACATATTTTAGTTCCTTTACATTTTTGTTATTTGGACCAGGTAAAATATTGACGAAAAATGTTGAAGTTGGTATCTTTTCAGGGCCATACTTAACATTGATTACTTCCCCTGTAACCGAGTTTCCGGTGCTTTCAATAGCTTCTATAATTGCACTAGTGGGAGTAGACGGCTGGAGGTTTTTGATAACTATCCTGTAGTTTCTTTGATCTTTCCTTTTAAAGGTATGGCCAATCAGTCCCTTTTCTCGAACAACTGAAATCAGTTTTTTGTATACCTCTATGTCATTGGAGCTAATTCTCATCTGATTCCGATTTACTATTTTGAAGGTGAACTGATCTCTTTCTGCTGCAGTTTTTAATAATTCCGTAAGTTTCCCGACATCTTCCACTCCATACAAAACTATTGGCGGCGGTTTATTGGGCTTTTTGGGTTCAGCTTTATCGTCTTCTTCAGTGCAATCCACTGGTAGGTTGTCAAAGCTATTAGTAGTTTTAACCCCATCTGGCGAGAATGTGTCTGCTATTTTTCTCTTTTTACGGTATGTTTGTGTGGGTACACGTTGCCATTCTGGAGAATGTGGGCTTCTTGATCTAATAGCACCACTTTCTCTTAATTCGGCTTCAGTTCCGGGAACCACGGATTCTTCTATGTTTTCTTCTGTATTTCCAGGTAGTTGATGGTTTGTTTTATTTTTATTTCCCAGGGATGAGCTTCTTGGTCTGGTGTTAAATAAGCTTGGATGGAATGTTTGCTGTATCATAACTTTTTTTTTTATCACATTTAAGCAAAATTTTGCCTCCCCCAGATACGGTGAGGCTGTCTGAGTTTCCCTGTGGGCTCTTCTCAGAGAAGGATTCTCCAGCGTTGCTGGTACCTTCCTGGGGTAATTTGTTTTCAAACCCTGCTACCATTTTGTTTACGGCATGCTTGTCGGGCATGCAACCTAGCCTTTAGTGCACTGACACCTACGTACAAGGCAGCACGTTTGGTTTATTATTTGGAGTACCTTCTCCTAGATCAATAGCCATCCAAGGCTAACGAGATTGATCTTCCCGGGTCCGAGCTTTGATTTAAGTGGCGGCTCATACTCGCCACTGTCGTTCTCTGTCATCAGGTTTAGTGCTACTTTATAGGGGAGGCTCAGCCATGAGCCCTCCCAGCACCCCTCAAGATGAACCGCCCCATTGTCCGCGACTGCCTCAGCAGCTAGCCTCCATATCTGGGGACCGTATCGCTATCCGCAACCTGCTACGCGGTGGGTGGCACAGGGCAGTGCCCCTGGGAAGTCATCACCCAGAACCCACAAAAGAAGCCTCAATAAATAAAGTCGAAATTATAACGGCACCTTTTGGCGCCGAGTGGCTAGAACTATTAACGGCTAAAAATCATTTTATTAGTTCTGCATCAGAAAATTCTTTACTTCATCAAATACAGCACTACCCCTTTATATTTGATTAGTGCTCGTAACCGACACGCTTTTGCTAACACCTTGCGGGTTTTTTAATCGCACGGACTGCAGCACTAATGGCATGGGATATTGGTTCGTTTAAAGATCTAAATAATTCTAATGAAAATACGTTATACAGACGCACGGTCTTCGCGTTTCGCGTCGCAAGTCGCAGAGAACGATTAGCGATTTACAACAGTTCATTATTTCTGCATCAAAAGTTTTTTTTATTCCTCCCAGGCAGGGGGCGGGTGTGAAATCCTCATGGATACCCTTCAGCCGGCTGCAAGGGTAATGTCAGACTCCTACTGACTAAAACACACATGTAGTTCATGCTTATGGCCGGAAGGGCCTTACAAGCTTCATCTGAAGCGATCATCCCCTGAGAGAGGGATGATGCAGCGCTGCGTTAGTTTAAACTAAGGCATAGCTTAAAATAAAGGGCAGGAAGGGTTGGGGGCTGGAATGTTTAGATCTGAATCCAAATTAGTTTGGTATGATGTTTAGGGTCGGATGGTGACAAAAAATACTCTCTTAAACTTGTCAATACAAGTGTAAGCAAGGTTATCACTTGGATGGGAAAGTTTGAGATGCCGTCGGCGCCCGGGGGTCGTCGTTGAGTGGGAGGGCGGCTCATCGGTGGATCTGCTCCTCTACTCCGCGGATGTGATACGGGTCGGTCGCCTGCGAGCTGGGTGTGCATTGCGCTGCTATGCTGTCCGCGAAGCACTCGGCTTTCTCGTCGTCCTCGAAGGCGACGGTACCATCGGGGCGAGTGAGCTGGGGTGTGTGTGTGGTAATTTGATTGATTTGATTAGGTTCCGGGTGGCCAGCGGGAGTTTGCGCTTTGGTGGCGCAACCTCCCGCGAGTTCTCCTTCACCTTCTCGTTCACCAAAGTCGTGAGAGCTTTAATGGCATCATCTATCTTTTCCATGCTGTTAAGACAGTCCGGTGAGATAGGGAGCAGAGAGTCGGGGGAGTCTAGTGCGGTCTCGAGAGCGGAGCGGTATTGTCCCAGTTGGTATTGTCTTCTTGGGGGCTTATTATTTAGTATAACAAACACCAAAAATCAGCCTCAATTTTTTGGAGATTGTTATACTAAATATAGAGTATAGATAAAAGGTGAATTTATAACGCGGAAGCGAGATCGGCGTGTTCAAGCATCGCCATAAGTTTCTCATGTTGGGATTGCGCTGTCCGTAGCTTGTTGGCGAGCAGGTATGCGAATCTCTTGGGAGATTCATCTTACTCAACGTGGAGCGGATAAGTTCTATGTCGTCTGCCAGGGAGCTGTTTTGTGCGGGCCTAGCGCATGTGAGTGTGCATTGCGCTGCTATGCTGTTTGCAGCCTTTGTGGTTCCCACAGATGGTGAGCTCTCTTCGGAAAATGTCCTTGGCTGCTGGGGCCGCGGTTAAGATCACCAGGGCCAACGGGTAATGCTTTCCTGTTCGACTTTGCATTTTGTGCACAGCCTCGGCGGGAAAGCCTTGGGATTGGATAGTCATTTAAGATGACCACATTTGGGAGTTCAAAGGTAACTCTTAAGACTGCGCGCACCTTGTGCTCTTCGGAGAGAGCGTACGTGTGGTAGGAGAGTTTATGTGTAGTAAGAAGCTTGGTAAGGCTTCTGAATGAATCGGATGTTGGTGTGGTGATTTTGATTGCGTCTTTACATAAATCGGCGACTTTCGCCCATCGCGCTTTTTCGCGCAGAAAGAGTGGTGGCGGAGGGTTTGCTTTGACAGGTGCGGCGGAGCACCTGCTGTGTGTTTTGGGTGTGGCTGGCTCGGAAACTGTTAGAGGGGTGAGGGGAACGGGGACCTTGTCCATTAATAATCACATAAGTGCGGGGGGTGAGGGGGACGGGCACTGTTGGTGAGGCGGTGGAGGAGCGGCGCTTGGAGCGACGCTTCTTCTTGGTCTCCACCAGAGTGAACTCGGAAGAGTCCTCGGACGCCGACACCATGGTGGAGTCGGAGTCCTCGCAGATAGATCCTGCTGGACTCGAGGATGGACGCTTGGCCGCGCTCGAAAACCGGCCGAAGAACCGGAGAGGCCGGCCCGCGTGGGGGGTGTCGTGGATGGGGCTTTCGGGCGAGTCGCGCAGAGGAGAAAAGGCGGCTGCTATCATTTGTATTAGGTCCATAGTGATAGTGATGTTGTTGTCAGTAGCGTGTGTATGCCTAACTGCGGCGTGAAGTGCAGGTTGTATAAGCCTAAGTGACAACGATGGACCTCCCTGCTCGGGGCAGGGGGGCGGGTGAATCTGTAAGAGATGTGTTCCTATATTCCTAGTAAATATAAGGACAACCGTCACCCTTGGGCAAGCCTAAGTGCAAATGTGATCGGATCTTCCGGTTTCCGAGCTCAGGAGAGCTCGAGATGTACCTGGATCTACGTCGACGAGCTTGTTGACACTGTAAGGTTACCGCTAGTCCAATGTGAAACTTATTTAAATTTAGATCGCACTGCGCGCCGTGAAAACGGCACACAGGGATGTAAATTTAAATGTTTGTTATAGCTAAAACCGCATAAGGCGGCAGTAAAAAGTTACGACCGAGTCGAAGTGAAATTTCGCGTACGTAGTTTCGTCCGCGGAATCTGCTCCAAAGCGACGTGTGATCTCTCCAAAGGTCCGAGCAGGAATGTGCATCAGAAGAAATTTTAAAACATCACCGCCTTTGCTTCGTGCTCTTAACCGACACGCTTTTGCTAACACCGCTCGGGTTTTATCGCACGCACTTCAGTACTAATGGAATTAGACTTAGGTTGTTATGAAGATCTAAATAATCCTAATGGAAATACGGTATACAGTCGCACGGTCTTCGCGTTTCGCGTCGCAAGTCGCAGGGCGCGGCACCTCCATCCCCTGTAAGGGGCCATCTTACACCCTGCGTTGTCAAGATAGCTGATGAAGAAGAAGAATATCCCCCAAACTATCAGGTATTTCGTAAATTTGTATTAGATTTAGTAGACAGATGTAAGTTTCGTGCAAAAACTATTTATTACAACCCTCCTGATGTTATAAGGTGTGATTATAGACTGGTGGAAAATATAGCTACCAGCCTCACCCTGTCAGACTTTGGCCCTATCCTGGGCAGCCCACATTATCTAAGGGAGAACAATCATCAACATGGAACTGTATTTGCTCTCGGCACTGCTCATGTTTAATTAGGCAGTTGAAGTGTTGCTTATTTTAAAAGAATGGATTATATTTTCGTACTTCTTATTTTACTAGATTGAAACTGGACTTTGTTTTGGTATCTTAAGGCATTTTTTCACCGGCTGCACTGTTGATCAAAACAGCTACACAAGGCGCAGTGCATCAAGCAATATTTTTTGCCCACTATAATCTGAGATGAGTTAGGAACTAAAGGACATTGTTCTGCGCCCATACATAGTTAGCCTAAGAACCAACAATCATGTAATATTATTTTCTAGGTTCGAAATCGCACGTAAATAACTGTAAAAACAAAGATTATTGACGGACACTTCTGAGAACTTAAATTATTAGGAAAACTAAATTTTTTTGAGGTTATGTTTAATATTCAATGAAACATAGGTCAACCTATGAATTTATTATGAACTCAGTATGAAGTGAATTAATATTAAAACTAATTCATTTTATTCGGTGCGATTTTAAAGAATGACTATTAGGAAGAACTTGGTTAGATAGGAATCATGAATAAAATAATAACAATATAATAGTTTTGCTTCTTTTATTGACCTTTTTTTCACATAATTGTATCATATTGTATTTATTTGTTTAACACATGTATATTGTGTTAATATGCAGCGTGAATGTGTATCAGGTGCTCTTGAATAATTTGGCAGTATGATCCTCTCAGGATGTTATGGCACAGGTTCACTAGCACTTGGTAAGAAGGTTTCTGCTTTTTGATAACATCGATGGCATATTAGATAGCCGAAATAATAATAGTTAAATTAAAGGAAAAACAATCGCAAATAAACACACACACAACAGGTAATCCGAACGAGAATTCTCCGTTTATAAAAAGTACTCTTTGACGAGAATGCACGAATGCCACAGATTACTACGAATGCAAACTGCCTGCACCACAACCACAGAGTATCAAGTTTATGCCGGCCCTTCACTTGACAACAGTTTGTCCTTGACATGCTTAATAAGGAATGAAAAGGACAGAATGATGTCATGTTTTTAAATAGCAAATACGAATAGCCAAGTGAAGTGCCGGCATTAGGAAGAAAGTGTTTTTTGTTTGCAGCGCTGTCATAGATTATACACATAAAATGGTATTTATTGTCTCAGATTATTTATTAACTTTTTAATTTAGCTTACTTAACTGGAAGTGTCCGTCACAATCTAAATACTGATAATTATCGCAAAAAATATACTAAGAATTATCATAAATGCCAAATTGGTGTTGGTTCTTAGGCCAATTTTAACATTGTCCTTTAGCAGAACATAGCACAGTATCGCTTGATGTTTGATTGGTCATCCTTTTTATTGCAGTATTCCTTTAGGTAGAGGATCTAACTAAATGTTTTGATTAGACTAGAAATTGAAGCATAGCTGGCTTTAACATTGTTCAAACATTGAGAATGAATTAAGCATTCCTTGTCAAACTGTAAAAAAAATAAAAGAACTATGTGTGTGTGTAAAGACCAAGCGATCGGGAGGTCTATAGTTCGTTAAGTATTGGCTGTTTCTTCTCTCGTTCTAGAGGGTTGCCAATTTCATACGAACGTCGCTCAGTCCATTCTCTATGTCTATAATTTAAACGATCATCTTTTAATTATTTAATGATAGGTTTTACTTCTTTATTTTTATGAACTTTCTTACCATAGTCTCTTATTATTTAGTGATATCTATGCTAGAGATGCACCGAAATTCGTTTCACATTCGGTATTACCGAAGTTAGACAGATTTTACCGAACTTCGTCTTGGGCCGAATTTTGGTTAGATTTCCCGAATGTCTGCCGAAATTCGGTAGCTAAATGGATGGATGTAGCGGAAATGGAAAAGTGAAAAGAAATGTATTTTAAATAAAATCTTGATCAAATGATGATTTGTAAGCAAATGTTATAACGTGGATTTTCGTTAGTGTTTGTTTTTATTGCCCTTGACAAAAGCATCAAGTCCCAAAATATGCTTTAAAAAAATATCAATTGTAATAATCAGCAAGGTAACATAATATTCTTCATTCTTTGTAACTTTTTTAAGATAATGATACTTTGACGTTAAGTATTTTTTTTATTGTAACAAAACAGTATTTTATATTTGTTATTATTTTTTAACATTTTCTTCACTGAGCAAAAGTACGCAAAATTTAACCGATTTGGCACATATTAAAACCGAACATTCGGCCGAATTCGACATTCGGCAGGATCAATATTCGGTGCAACATTAATCTATACCTTCCTCATTTTTTAATTACTTTTTTGTTATAACAGTCTATGCAGTATTGTAACCTAGCGTCGCTACCGCCGGCGGTGGACAGAAACTTAAAGCCGCGTCCGCAGAGCCACAGCATGGCTCCAGTGTTCGCGCCTGCAATACAAGTTAGTATCTATCATAAGAAGAAAGGCTAAGAACTCGGCGCGATTTTCTCCCGCGCCCGCCACGTCTGTGGGATCGCAACTCGCTTAGAATGTGAAATTGTAGGTAAGACGCAAAAGTAAAACTTACGACATTTTTTTTTGAGTGTGTATGCTGTTGGTCGCAGATGACCTTTACAGCGTCACCGGGCTTGGGGACGGCGAAATCCTAAGAGGACCGAAAATGGGCGAGTGCCTCCATAGGTATTCCAGGCGGGTGGCATCTCCCCACGGGGGGAGTCTCGTCGAACCTGAGGGGGTCAGCTCACCCAGAGGGCGTCTCTGAAACTCGCAACTCGGCTCTAGTTAGCCGTTGTCGTGCGGGGCAAAAACTTACGGCGCGTTATGCGGGCGCGGACCGTGACGTGAGTTTTGAGATGAAACAGTTTAAAACTGCGGCTGGTGCGGGAATAAATCTCACCGTAAGTTCTTAGCCATACTGTACAACAACGATTTAAATCGTTAAACCTGTACCAGACTACTTGCTAAATTAATAAATAATCATAAAGAAATATTTATTATACAACATTTAGAATCCAAAGTAAGCTTTGTAAGGTTTGTGTTATGGGATAGGGTAATCAATAGAAATACATTATAGTGATGCATAACTATATATTTTTATAGGAATATTACGATCTTGTGCTTGATAGCGCGTTCGTTCTACCATCTTTGAAGTTAAGTAAATTTCCCAATTTCCAATAATCGGAGGGGGGTCAAAAATTTATTAATTTGAAAATCTCCGTAAAATGATAAGCTGTTGGTCTTTGCTGCATCTGCAATCGTTAGCACCCACGAATCCGAACTGGACTCAAATTGGTGAGCAATGGCCCAATCTGCCTATTCCATCCATGGGAAAGGCCTGTGCCACAGCAGTGGGGACAATTAGGCTGATGTTTTCTTATGCTGTCCACTTACATAACTATATGTAGCTAAATTTGACAGAAGTATATTCTTATATACTTCTGTCAAAGGAATGAAAAGGAAATTATTTGTTTCTCTTAGACCCCAATACCGATGGCGCCCCGAGCTGAGCCCAGATCGGACACGCTGCAATATTTAGATTTGGACCTAATGCCGAAGTCATCGCCCATCAAGGTAAGAAACTATCATCCTCCTAGCATGAGCACCGCGTTATGATATATCGTTCGTTTTTATCAAGCTCAATTTTGTCAAATTACTATGCAGTAAGACGTGATAGAAAACGTGATATAATGTAAATTGTGGTGTTAATGCTACAGGGACATAGATGCCACACAACAATCGAAAGCATGATAACTGTATACATATTAGAAATAATTACTTCCCAATATAATAAAGCTAATGCATTTGGTCTGCAATCCTGTTTTTTCCCTTAAAAGACACGTTGAGCTGTTGCTCTTGGTTGCGCCTGAATCGTTAGCACCCATTAATCCGAACTAGGCCTGTGTGGCAGGTCTTGGTTCTTCCTCCCCTTTCCATATACGTCACCCCTAGCTTTGGAGATATACATTTAGCCTGTTTCCATAAAAAAGTATTTTTGTATTGTATTGTTTATTTCTGTAGCCCCGTTAGAATTTTATATAATGGAACTCTATGTACTCTATGTAGCTTAGTGGTTAGTTGTTGTCGTCTACAATAGCACTTTTTCCTTACCCAGTGCCCAGGATGGAAGACCAAAAATCTATTCTTTCGATCTCATCTGTGCTGCAGAAGGCACATAACAGTTGATCCCGTCAGTATCTGCAGTTGGCATTACCACCGATATGCACTAAGGCCTGTTTTCCCTAAAACGTTATTTTTATGGTGCACGATTGTGCCTCTGTATTGTTGATATGAACCGAAAATATGATGGAAAGCAGAGACAATAGATTAGTACTACTCTGCCCTCAGAACAAGAATTAAATCATAGAAGTATTGTTATGACGTTTGAACCTCCTCAACAACCTTCCGAAAAAGGTAAGGATAAGTGGTAAGTGGAGAGACAGAATTGTGTACTTGGTACAATAAAATTAAAAAACATCATCAATAATTCGCTCAACGAATATTATGATTCAACCGTTTTAAGAAATTTGTTTTTTAATTTTATTTTATAATTTTAAGTACACAATTCTGTCTCTCCACTTACCACTTATCCTTACCTTTTTCGGTTAAGGTTCCGATTCTTAGCAAAAGTTGTTAATATAATAAAAATATCTAAAAGATATTAAAAAAGCATATCATGGGACCATGGAACCTGTAAATTGTCCAAAAGCCAAAATAATGTAAAATAATCTGTCAAAAAGTGTTTTATTTAAAATATCTAGATAACAGATTCGTATTCGCAACTGGAGTTCGATTTATTAAAAGTACTTATTACCTTTGATTATTTATACACCTAGAGATAGATCAATATAAAAAAAAACACGCGAGGAAAACGGCTCATGTTTCGCGCAATGCGTCCATGAATGTAATGTCAGATTGTACTAAAGCATGTAGCATACATAATATGTAGTAGACTTTTTTATACCGCTTCCGAGCTGTTGATACGTTATCTAGGTTGTATATAAACAAAGCTTTTTATTCATCGCAGACTGCCGATGGCCGTCGAAGGGACATAATCCACGGGAAATCTTACTCGGCCGCGGACGCCGACTGCGCCTACAAAACGGTCGATTTCCTCAAAACCGAGGCCTTTAACATCACCCGGCAGGACGCGGAGGCTTTGCGGAACAGTCATTATTGACATTACAAGTAAAGTTTCAACTTTATATACTTTTGAATGTGTAGTACTTGTTGTTTGCCACCTATGATGTCGGGGTTATCGAATGTGTCGTAAGTACGCGCCACAATCAAGGTTATGAGAACTTTAATTGAAGAATTAAAATGTCTTTTTAATAGTGTAAAACTTACACATACTGAAAGTTTATACCCAACGTCGATGTTTACATATCAATTCACTTCTGATTTAGCCTACATATTTAGGTGCTGTATAGAGTTCTAAAGTTGTACACGGATTGTATGACTTCCTAGTGTCACGAGATAAGTCGAATTTCCACCCAGAACACCTAATCATTGTGAACCATTCAATATATATACATCATAAGTAGTGTGTGTTTTTTGAGAAGTATGTGACAAGTTGCTACATCATTGCCCTGATTGGTTACGAAACATATTTTAATCATTATAGACACATCTTCGTTGTAGAGTTAGCCCAAAACGGTTGAATCATAATATTCGTTGAGTGAATTATTGATGATGTTTTTTAATTTTATTGTACCAGGTACACAATTCTGTCTCTCCACTTACCACTTACCACATAAAACTAGCTACAAGAGCTAGTTTTTTTTCTTAATTACTGACTTTGAATTGAATCTGTCCACATCACAGGTTGGGTATAATACTCGACATCTTATTTGTATGTTTTGTTAATAGCTGAAATGGGTAGACGTCCATATGATATTGTAACTTGCAAACATGCCTTATTGTTATGTACTCTGTGTATTTAGTGAACTATGTGGCATGTCGCAGAAAATCTCTACCCGCTTTTCCAGTTATTTCTTGTGAATGTTTCCTCTTTCTTAAATTTATTCTGTGTTTAAACTATAGTAGATAGTTCAGAAAAAAAGTGTCGATAGCCTAACCAGATATATTAAAACCGGATTGAAAAATCTTCCTTTTTTACATTTGTAGACCCAATAAAACGTACTTTATCGTACAGTAATGACGTGCGCACACTGCCTGGATTTCTTGTTCCCTGTTGAATGGGTGCGATGTTGCCAATCCTAAGATAAATACTTGTAGGATAAATATTCGACTAACGTTACCATATTTGAATGCGTCTGAATTATAGATTTTTTCTTTACATTCCATTCGACGTCACTTTGTACTCTCTAGTACAAGACCATTTACATTCGACGAACGTGGGCTTAGTCAAATATATTATTTTTAATTGTTGGAGATGTCTAACATTATTTTTTCATTATTGAAAACGCAAAAATATAATTCAGTGATTAGGTGGGTGAAGGTAATTATTGTTACGATTAATAGTAGCATTAGTTTTAAATTTGGATATTTATTTCTAAAAATACAAGACTTCATTATATTTTTACTTATGAAACACATGGAAAGTCACAAAGTTTTTAGCTTGAAAACCACTAAAATTTATAGAAATTGTTTGTATACGTAGCGTACTACTAATTCGCGTTGCAGTCAGTGTGCGCATTCCCTTAGAACTTAGAGTATGCGTACGAATTGAATTCGTACGAAACGTCATGCAATTTATCAAATTTTGGATGGCTTATATTTATCTGGTTAGACTACTACTGCTACATATGTATGTACTATAAATGTATTACGTAATCTTCTTGAAGTATGCGCTGTTGTAAAGAAGTTAAATTCAAATATCCCAACGAGCTGAGATAATAATGAAATTAAGGAGAAATAAAACTGCTGAAATTTAATCGTTCTGAAATTCGTCATGTAACGTCTGATAAGATCTTGTGAGAGGACCAGAGGATCTAAAAACCGCTCGGGCTCTAGGCAATTTTGCAAATGATAAAGTATATGAATGTTAATAATCATTTTGATGATCGTGTTTTAAAGCAAAGATTTTTTTATTAAATATACTTGGACATATAGAATAAGGTCTTGGGATCTTGAACTAATAGATTACTCTTTGTGGTAAGTTTACAATAATTTTTTTTATAATGCAAGTAGAAACACTTTTTTGCAATATTATGCACCAAAATACAGAATATATTTCATCATATTTCACTTTAAATAACCTCCGTATTCTTAATTTACAGTGGTTATTAACTTAGAACGGATTCATCATGGCCATTCGTTCATTCGTTTTTTACTAGATAGCATTATCCTATTTCAAAGGATGGAAATTTAAAAGCTGGGGAAGATCTAGACTCGCCTATCCCGGTGATTAAATGTCGGAAGCCTTAAATACCGGCAAAAATGTATGGAAAAAGCTACGAACGAAAAGGAAGTGAAATATGTATGCACGAACTGTGTTACGTAGCGCTTTCTGCCTACCCTGATCGGGATATGAACATAATATGCGTGACGTGTGTAATACAAACAATTGTGATATTTTTTGACATAATACGAAGCTCTCATCTATCACAAAAAATTTCAAATATATCGGATAGCCCAAGGAATACAGAAAACCAAATAACAAAATTTTACCGCCTAGTTTTTTTACAGATGTAAATACGTAGGTCATAAGAAGCTTAAGTCAAACAACTCTCAAATATTGTATCACTAGCATAATATTGGTTATAGAAATAAAGTATTTTTATTTTTTTTTTATTATTTTTGATCTAATTAAATTGAAGCTATGATGATTTTGTTGGATTGTTATTATTTAATTGGAAAAAAGTAATATAATGATAGATTCAATTTTCTATAGCTTACTATTATATGCTTTTAATATCTATAAAGTAATTCGAGCAAAGGAATAAGGTAAAAAAAATATATTCTCGTTATAAAATTAAGCAAGAAAAAAATACTTCAATAGTTTTCGACAAACATGTTCAAATAAACAACAAAAACAGTAAGATATACAATATAAAAAGGACATGGTAAAGTTTTGTATGAGCGACTGCCCTGGCAATGTATAAATACTGTACTTAGTAATATTTAATGGTAAATGGCTGAATATTTATAATTTCTATGAAAAAAGGATCAGGAACTTTTGATAAAGTCGCAATCTTGAAAATTATGAGAACTCCTACTATGTCATTACCTTACTGCAGTTGATAAAAGATGTTGCCAATTATTTACAGAGTCATCAATTTCGCATTTTCTTAGAATCTTTCTTCCCATTTCACTGATTAACTCTTCACAAAAAGTGTTTTTAAAGCAAAAATAATACAAATAGTTTGATAACGTCGCGTCGGCCTGACAGGAAATCTGTGAAGTTTTATTTTGTTTTTTTTTTGTGGTTAATTTGTCCCTGTTGGGACGGGCAAAGGATTCTGAGTCCATACAGTTTTATTTTGTTCACTTGCAAAAATTAAAGGATTTATTTTCATACAGCCTTGTCTCAAGCCTGATCAGAATAATAAAATCTATTATTTTAGGCCTTCAGTGATTTGTTTTGATAAAAATTAGGGCTAAATATGTCATAGTTAGAAGGAGTTTAGAAATAATATTGTTTATTTCGATATACTTACACAAATATTTTTTGTGTACATTTATTGTTCATTTATTTTGTAAAACGGAACATTTTGCTTTTTAAACAGACATGAAGTCAATTTTTATGCTTTTAAATATTTGATTATTTTACGAAAGTTGTATGAGAATAATAAACACGTAATAATTTATAAAAAAATATTGTAAAGTTACGGGCTAGTGCGAAATATTTATACACGTTAAGGGCAGTTGCTTAGCCATGTCCTTTAGACATAAAAGTAAGGGAATTTAATAAAAAACAAAAAAGTACGCTACAATTTTTTCCTTAAAGTCAATAACTTCGGAGGTATAGCGATAAATGCGTTTTCAAATATGGCGGCCAGTGTGACCTCCCTATATTCCCCGATTTTTAAACTTAAGCTTCTTATGACCTCCCTAACATCTGTAAAAAAAACTAGTGTGGTAAAATTTTGCATTACGATCAAGTATAACCGCGATCTCTGTTCCTTGGGCTAGAACCTCAATTTTAAGTGCCTTCTTTGTCATGACAATTAAATAATGCTTCTTTATGTTGATTTCCTGCATTTTTTTTTACATAGAATTGTAGCTTTTATGTTTTCTTTTTGCTAGTGGTTTATTGTGGTGTAAGTATAATAATGTTTGGAATCGTGTATATAGTTTTAAGATGCAAATTTTATCATTAATATATAATTGAAATTATATCGGTAAAGTTAAATTATGCTACTGACATCTGACATATTTATGTAAGTAACAGCGAGTGACAATGTCTTTTTTAGTTCCGACTATAAAAAATATTTATGAAAAAAAAACTCAAAACATATAGGTTCAGTAAAGATATAAAGTTTCCGATCTGTTATTATATTGTGTTACGAACAGTAGATATTAGTACGAAGAGACTGGCATTACGATATGGTATGGGTGTTACTAACAAGGGTGTGTTAAATCGTGTATCCTTATCTCTCAGCCCTAGAGTGGTCGAGACGCGCCGTCCGTATAGGCCACTCTTTTTCATGAACATGCTAAGGCGATCTGCACCGAATGTGGAACCACCGATACCGATGATAGTGATTAGTCCGCCGCAAAATCAAGCACAGTACCTCCCTAGCGGAAGCAGGTCTAGCCACCCGCTGACACCACACCAAATTTCGACTCTCACGACTACGACATGCGGCAATCAACGATGCTACGAGTGTAGCGAGGAGTTCTGACGTCTCCAGTTTGGATTGGCCAACGAAGCTCCGCGAAGTTCAACATTAGACCGCCTCTTTGAATGCCTCACTTTCCAATGCATCAAAGATCGTGACCGTCGAAACCATTAAATGTTAGTTGCTTTTTGTGTCGAGTTAATTCAGGGTGTCAAAAATAATACATAACATTATAGTTATAACTTTAATACCCCGTCTAAATTCAGCCACTGTAGACAATAGATTCAGAAAATCTATACGATACATCGACTAACGATTTTGAAACTGCAACTTCTGAAATCACTGTAATCCTTATGTGTAGTGTTTGTTAATATAAATATAATAAGATGAAAACGCGAAAAAACATATATAATTAAGTGAGTGTTCAATGTTTGGATTATATTTGGTCTGGCTTATTATGATGTGATTGAACAATGAATAATTAAACTCAGCAACGAATAATAATCTAGTGAATGAAAATCATTTAGATATAATGTTTCACTGATTCAATTCTATTAAGAACTTTCCAAAATAAGTAGAAAACTTTTTTCTTGTGATGATGGTGTACCAAGTTTACAGATTAAGGACCGTATTACATAAAGATACTCAGTGATTGATCTAATCTTGAGCATAGTTAGAAAGGGATGTCGCTATATAAAGCTCATAGCGACATCCCTTCTAATTGTACTCAAGTGTTGATCAAGATCAACAAGTGTTGATCCAGATGACAACTAAGTAGTTGTCATTCTGTAATACGGGCCTTAGTGTACCAATAGAATAAAAAAATAACATTATGTGGTGATACGTTTAGTGAGAAAATTTACTATTTATAGAATTGTATAAGATATGCTTTACCAAGTTTTTGAGGAGTACATTACTATGTATGTGTATTATGCTGTTTCTTATATTAATGAGTAAGGGCAATGCTACTAGGAAGTTAAAGATTGGATTGGGTTAATATGCAAACAAAGAAATACAATCGATTCCTACTCGATTAATTTAACCGATTTAATATACTTTCTCTCTTTTATGAGTATTAAATATACTTTTTCTCTGTAAATATCTCTGTAGATCATTTACACCTATTTATAAAGCACCTATTCCTGCATTGAAGGGTTGCTAAACTCATAATCATAGTGAGATTATTGGGTTCTGTTATAGAAACGCAAATGAGACTGGCATGTGACTTTTTATACTGTGACTTATTCTCTCATAAAATTTTGTAATACTATATCGAGAATTTATTTCAACTATTACAAATATATATCTATACTATTCCGTCTTTTAGCGGAACCCCGTTGTAACTTAATCGTTAGTAGTTTGATATTACATAAGATATATATATATATATATATATATATATATTCATGTTCAACGTACTTTGCCATGCCATTTTATAATTCAATAGAAACTCAACGAATATTTGAAAGGAAAATTTTACATTTCTTAAAAAAAACAAATTTGATATTTGTCTGTATGTATATTTCATTAGACTCTGCTAATAAACCGTTAAAGACAATCGGTTCGACTTAATCGTAAATTTTTCGAGTTCACGAGACTCAATATTGTGATTAATGTTTCATAAATCGCCTTCAAAAATCGGTCGCCTTCTGTTTGATGCTGAGTGGTTGGCCTAAGAAAATTTTATTGAAAGTTTATTGTGCCCATAAAAACGTTATTCCATTACGTTTGTTTGAGCATTGTGATATGCATTGTGTTAGAATTAACTGTTGAAATAATATAAATATAAAAATTGTGATGTTACATAATTATTCAATATGCCTATAACTTAAGTGCACGATCAGTGTTTTAAAATTTCTATAAAACCTTCCTTCCGCAGTAACGATAAATAATAATATAATATCATTTTATATTATTTTTTTAAACTGATTTTTCCATACAAAAATGACTATTTTCACTTTATCGAAATTAATAATGGAAGAAATTTAGAAATTATACGAATATTTATGACAATTACAATGTGATATTTATAATTACTATTTCAATAAGTACAGCACTATTTTTGTACACTTAATGCGTTTAGCACTATCTATTCATGAAAAAATGTCTGTAATTTATATGAAGTACTTTGTATGAACGAAGATTTCGCGAATTGTCTTCATGTTTTTCAAAAAAATATAAAATTATGTTTTGGTAATAATTCTCATGACCTGCATAAGCTTTACGATCAGAGGTGCTGTCATATAGATTGCTATGTTACATATCTACTTAAAATAAGCATCGAATGACAGCTGTAACCAACCATTAGAGGGCGGGCATGGTATTACTATATTACATGTATATTATAATGTACTAAAATATTTTTAACTAGTTAATAATGTAGTTTTAAAAAGATGCAGGTATTAAGCTTTAGTCATGTTTGTTGAAAGGATCCATTCTTTTCTCCATACACTATGCCCAATTTTGTACCCCAAGTATTCTCATGCATTTATGAGTAGATGAATACGCCGAATTCATCAAAAATGAAAATGGAGTTTATTATCCACTTGAACCACATACAAAAATCAGAAATCATGTGATTTTTTATACAACCAACCACTATCAGGCAAAAGAATTTAAACCAATGGTATAAACTGTCATTTGTCAGTTAATAGCAAATTGCGTCTAAACAATTACGTTTCTTTATACGCAGATTCCCTATTTTACTTCAGAATTTCAGCAATTTTATTGAATTTATAGTGATTTTGATGAGTGTCTTATAAGTATAATTTTAGATGTTTTTTTGAGATAATTTGTACCAAGGTATAAAATTGGGCAAAAATCGAAGGTTTATTTCTTGATTGGCGAGAATTCTGGTTACTAAAATATAACCACATAAGTCGTTTTCCTCTCAATTCTTGACCCCTTATTATCTTACTGCAATGAGTCTAAATAAGTATTATTTTAGGTGTTTTTTGAGATAATTTGTACCAAGGTACAAAATTGGGCAAAAATCGAAGGGTTCCTATATTGATTGGCGATAATTTTGGAAACTAAAGTAGATTTCCTTTCAATTCTTCACCCCTTACTATCTTATTGCAATGGAAAAGGATGTCAACCAATTGTTTGTTTGTCGTGTGAAAGAATGATAAATTTCGTGCGTATGCATTTACCAACAATATGATGTCCCTGTGTATCGTAAAAAGAAGTAAGCTTGGTCTTGAAACGCCAGCGAACCGCTGGCGATTAAATTTGTTGTGAGACTTAGCCTTTTTTAGAAACTTAAGAGGTGTACGGCTAGGTACACAAACCCCATTTAAAGGTGTGATCTTTAATGTAAAATGAAATGTTATGTATATGTTTTATACACTTTTTCAAAATGTTTTACACACTTTTAGTATTTTCCACAGTCTCTACAACTTTACTTGAATAATAAGCGTAAAATGAATGTGAGAAAATGAAATAAAACACGTGTTCAACTGTGTAGTATTTATAACAAAATTAATGTTAAAGTTCCACTGCATCCTGTAGTGACGACTATTTATACTCGAATATTAAATCTTTAATAACCAATCCACAGTTAAAATGTTAATGTTTAAATATAGACACGTTACTATTTAAGATATACTTACCTACCTACTTAAAAATAAAATTGTATTATTAGATATAAATGTATGTTGTAAAAAAATTAAATACAAATAATATAATAGTTTGCAACCTCTTATGTACACTACATTAGTGGCGTCATTGTGACTATTTGTTCCCAGTAATTTTAACGCATAATAATGTTGACAACAAAATAGCATGCGTTAGGTTCGTCTACGTTCCTAGTGGGAGCAAAACAATGGGAAAGCGATAGAATGAAACCTTTACCGTATATAACAATAGTAGTTTGGCTCGCGCCAATGAATAAATAGACATAAAATGTAGACGCAAGAAATTTCGTCCATTTTGCACATCCTGTTTATTCATAATAAAGACATTAACTTTTGAGATGAGCACCAAATTTTTATGTTCTATTCGTGTTTGTTGTGTGATGGGAAGTTATCCAAAAAATAAAAGAGTAACAGAATGGCTTGTGTCGTGATTTTCGAACAGTTTAACTTTTTGGGCACGAGTTTATACTAATGAATTCTTTATTATAACAAGCTTCGTACATAAAAGTGCTCGAAACTCTTGGTATGATCATTTTAGAAATTAAGTATTAAACTTGTGTCCGATGGATAATTTTTTGCACATAAACATCCAAATTCAATGTTTCAAGGAAAGTAAAAATTATTATAATTTTTATGCATACATAATATTAAACGGGTCGAAATAAAGAAGTTAAGAAACAGAAAAAGGAATGTTAACGTTTGAAACTGTTAGATTTTTATATTCACCAAAATATTTATTAAACAGTAGTTTTGTTCAAACAGTTATTTCACCCCTGATTCCATTTTAAACAATGTTATTTAAAGTCTGTTAAGCCATTATATCAATATAGAATATTTATGATTGATCACGTTACATATTAATTGTATTTTGTAAAAGGTCAATTTGCATCGGACTCAAGGGAAGAGCAAACATTTACAAAAATATGAGACATTTGGTCGAATTCGTATATACGCTATAAACGTGACTCTTAAATAAGGGTCCCGAAGACTGAGGTGCTATGAAAAAGTAAGGAAAGCTAAAACGTGTAATGCGAAATCGTGAATTTTTTCATAAATAAGTATTGTTCATGGGTTTTTATACTGACCAACTTAAGTATATCATTCTTAGCATGCATAAAGTGACTTTGTGAATGAATCAAGGAATAAACTAATGAACAGGGTCGTTACTGTAATGTTAAGATGTCAGTAGTAATAATGCATAAATGTTAATATTGAATGACATTGACATACCGGCCCATTGAAAAGAAAACTCGCTTGTTTGAATATAAGATATGGAGGTATCGTTTACAATTATTGGTCCTATGAAAGTTGTACTTTATTATTAGTTACAGTATTCGTTAAAGTAGTATTAAAATCGATTGACATTAGCGCACAATGCAATAACACAATTATTATTGTAATCATATATGTAGATGTTCTCTTAATTAAGTTCATGTTAAATGTTATGGTTATAAAAAAATCAATGTATTAGAGAAAGAAAATATCTGTTAGATGAGATAAATGTTATAATAGATAAAGTGAATATTCAAAGGTGATGTTGAATGTTAATATTATAAAAATGAGGAATTTTGCTTATTTGACACTTCATGAACATGACTTTTGTGATTGGACACTTCGGAGGTTAATTTAAATGCATAAATTATAATGTGTCGTGTTGGACGTCGTAAAAGATTAAATGTTGGTTCAGTGTTCACTGCTCACGTCTTTATACATAGATTCACGCGTGGCGGTGGGTACAGTTCGCTCTTGCATCGCGCAGCGGCGCCTTGCCATTAGAGTTGAAAATTACCAAAAGTTTCGGTAAGAAACGAAAGTTTCGAGGTAACTTACCGGTAAGTTTCGTGAAACTTACCAAAATTAGGTACATAATTTAAGTAATTTTCAAAAATGATGATTAACTTACAAATGTGCAACAGCAGCTTATTTTAAACGCTTTTGTTTTATTTTTATTGATACCTATCTACTTATAATATATAAAAACGCTGTACCTAATACTAATAAAGCATCCCAAAACAAGATTTTTAAACAAACGTATAGGTATTTATACTACAGAATTATTCGAAAACAAGAAAGGTACATAGAAATAAGTATGTTTCTAAGTTATCTTACATTTTTTAAGTGCGAAATAATATAGAATAAATACTAATTCAATGTTAGTTGAGGTAAGAGAATATTTTTTGAAAACTTCCAAAATTGGAAACTTTCAGGAAACTTTCGCGAAACTTACCATCGAAAAGGAAACTTTCGAGGTAATTTTCAACACTATTTGCCATTCACCTTGTTTGGGAGAGAATCTAGTAGAATTTTGAGCGCTTATTTCAATAATCCCTTACCGGACGCATATACGTCATCAGTGGGACGGTAATCACAAACGAGTAGAAAATTTCAGGTTAATAAAGTTATTTTCTTTCTATTACGGAAAATAATAAAAAATAAGCGCTCAAGTAATTAATAATTTGAGACTTAATTTTTAATAACCAACTGACCCATTGCTCTGTTCTCGATATATTATTACATCTAAAGTAACATAACCATTATGCACCCACCGTCATTCCGAGAAAGTATTCTGTATCTTTTACTATATATTTTGTACAAAAATCAAGTACTATGAGAACAATGACTTTTATATAGCCAAGATTCAATCTACAACATTGCCATTAAAGTGAACTGTGGAGTGAGTTCTATTTGAAGATCTGGATTTTTAACTAAATAAGAAAAATGTACTCAGCATTGCATTTAAAAAATTCGTAGCATTTCATTTAGGATATATTTATTGGCATGGTTCTCGTAAAACCAGCAGTAACAATCTAATGTTATACGGAATAAAACTTACCTACATTACATTAAAAAAAAATTCAACTAAAAATTATAGCTATAAGTACTGATACCCAATTTGAAAACACAGATTTTACTATGGGCACCCTTTTTAATATGCAATAGTCAGCATATTTATTAAGTTGGTATACGTACAGTTGTACAATATATTACATTATTATCTTACGATGTTCTATAATTTAGATGATAAAAGTTTCTATAAAATAGTTGTTTATAGGATAAAAGTGAGATGTTAGTATAAGCCATCGACGCATTTTTTTAATTATGAAGTTACCGCAACACTTCTAGATCACAAATATTCAAATATAAATGCAATTGTGTAGCTCAAATCAAATGTATTATTTATTTCTCAAATTTAATGTTTTATTATACACTCGATCGCAATAACTCTCTTTCAGTATTATTCATGTCTTAATAAATGTAAAAAAAACCGTCTCTCTTAGATTGGGTAGTTCTATTAATATTTTAATAATGATTTCCCTAGTTTTATTCGTGACTCGTTATTTTTACCCGCAAAAGCAAGAGATAAACCAAAGTTTTACTAACTTACACACGGTCACTTGTAATGTTATTTTATATTGTATTAATTTGTTTTTAGTTAATTAGCTAGACTTTTTATTTATATTTGCAACACATCACATGTCTCTTTGTAGTTTTATTGAATAGTATAATAAATGCAAGACCGCACTGATGAGCGGATTATTTGAGACAATGTCTCATTTAATAGCCGTCTTTTTATTGTAAATAAGTACTACTATGTATAATTTTGACTTAATTTAATTATCATAATGCTTGGATGCCATTACATTGTTAATTTAATATCAATACTTACTTATTTTTAGGTATTATTAGTTTTTATATGGTATTTTACGTACGTACCTATACTTACGGTATTTCAAATAGATTTATTTGCTTAGGTAACTTTGCAATTTTGTTGATGCAAACTACATGTACAGAATGTAAAGTATATTATTTTCTGGTATAAATAAATATGGAATTTCAATATATGTTACAAGGGGTTTTCATTTCTTTTTGTCATAAAGTATATCCCTTTGTTTGGTACCTATTTGTTAAAAAGATAAAGGAAAATATCCATTAATCATTTTCAAAATAATATAATTAAATAATAATTCAATTTAATACGTCAATTTCATGGAGCTTAGAGATAAGGAGAACGATTGCTACGCACTAAAGTATTAGCCCGCCAGTCGCTGAAAATTTATAGAATTTATAGTTAATTTTTAGCCACCAGCCGCGCTGCCGTCGTTAAGTAGTATCTGTGAAGTTAGCTGTTTATGAGTACAAGTATATGAAGTTAGTTGAATATTGTACAAACTTTCTTCGCGGCATTGATCATTTCAAATTAGCCCCCTTTTATCGAGACAACTTAGCGTTCGCAGCGCCTCACTTATTTTGTCCATATTTCTGGGACACTATTTCCTACAGCGATCGTTCTCTTTATTTCTAACCTCCATGGTCAGTTTTATGGAAGCTAAGCAGCGCCCCTACCGGACGTAACAATAAACTTTCCATAGAATCTTTGACGATGGCGATACAAATACGGATCTGTCAAAGTTCGTGTTTGGGGTTCCGTTCACGAAAACGAATTAGTGAAGCTCTTTCTTAAACGCATATCGATGTCAATGAAGATAAACTGCTTTACACGAGAAAGGGCCTTTCAATGGCCAGAGTAATGGCGCGATTATATTTGGTCACTGGCCCGAATACGAGTGTCTATGGAAATCGGGTAAACGACTAAGTGTAAATGAACGGAGTCGTTTACGCCGTAGTTTTCGTTTTGGTTAACCGACACCGTCTTCCAGCCCGTATTCAAGTGTAAATATTAGAGTAATATCTTTTGTGCACCCGAATACCTACAAGCTAACGACCAAATGTAATTAAGCCATGGCGACAGCAATATGATATGGCCAATAACGAAAAAGTTTAGCTTTAGTAGGTACTAGCTTGTTTCTATCAATGACTTCTTTTGCACTTAATAAACCTTTTTACCCGGCTGCGCAATGCAAGAGCGCGAAGCGCGACGCGCAGACAGGGTTATGTGTTTAACAGTCTATATATGTATGTTTGTTCCTTTGTGGCACACTAGAGACCAAACGCCTGGACCGATTTTGATGATTTATACATCAATCGATTCGTCTCAATCATGGGAGTGCTACTAAAGATATGATAGTAATCAAAATTCAATATGGGCAAAATTAGACGCCATATTGTGACGAAGTAAAAAAAATAAGTTGACAAAATATGTCGAGTGGGGTATCACTGTCTAGATAATCAAAAATCATATTTAGGTTCCTAACACCATTTTTCATTTTATAAGATTGTTTAGGATCTACAACGCTTTAAATTTGTATATTAACCACTTACGCTTTTAATTTCAATCTTACGTTTGTATGGATCTTTGTTACTCTTTCACCTTAATAAATACTGAATGGATTTTGATGAAACTTAACAGTAATATAGCTCATATATGATAATTACATATATATAATAATTTATGTAGTTATTGAGTGAATTGGGCAATATATAACAATAAGTATCACATAAGACGAAAAAAATCTCCCATCTGCGAGCCATTTTGGCCTGCACTGCAAAAACAATAAAAGTTACATGAATGTAATATAGAGTGAAAATGTATCTCTTAAATAGTTCTAAAAAAAAGTCCGTGACACCATATATATATTTTTAATGTGTAAGTCATTACCGCTAAAATAGTGAAACTAAAATATTATTTGATATCTATTTCCAAAATGCACATTTTGTATTAACAAATCATTTTTTATCAAAACAAATACTTTTATCGCTTTTGATATTTAAAGATGATAAACTTTGCTTCTTACACTATGTTATTTCGACAAATATTTAAAAAGTTACAACGATGACAAAGTGATAGCGCGGTGTACTATGTAAAAGAAAAAAAAATCTGATCCTATACGAAGTACTAACAATAAAACTGTGATACAGTTCCTTCTTATTAAATGATGAAAAATATATTATCATAATAGGTATTTATGATTATTGTATGTTATATAAATGTATTATAATATTGGTTTTGTAATAATTCTGCAAAATTCAAAGTAAATAATGTAGATTTTTATAGGTAAATCACCCCTTTCATCACGCCTATATGTATTGCGATGTTGTAGCTAAGAACCAAGTTCCCATCTACTTCTATATGGGAATTCATTATATTCGGTTTAGCTATTAGGGCACGGAAGCCCAACAAACAAACTCACTTTCGCATCTATAATATTATATTATACTTATTAGTGATCCACCCGGGCATTGTACGGGCGAAATTTATTTATCGGGATAAAATATAGCCTATGTAACTCGGACAAAATGTATTTAAATAAAGAAAAATGTTATAATCAATAACGTAGCTACCTTATGTTGAATTAGTATTTGAAACCGGTTTAGTACACTTCTGGACACATCTATTGGCCCACCTTAGAGTTTAGGTTTCGATGGCCCCTACCGAAATATGATTGCTAGATTGAACAAAAACTGTTGATGCAGTTTTAAACCTGATACATTTTACCATCTTTTTCGATCGTATTGTTTTAAATTTGAATTCAGAATACCATACGACATGGAGCTACGCCTAACAAGTCGGATATGCGCCTTGTTAAAGGCAATTGATTTCTGAATAAAAAACATGTTTTATCAAATACAGGTTTAATTTAATAACGCGTGTTGCCTCGATGGGCATCTACCACAGCTCTCATACGATTAGGCATAGAGTTTATCAACCGTTCTATGAAATTTTGAGGGATCATCTCCCATTCTTCTTCTCTGGCAGATTTCAACTCCTGCATCGTCTGGGCAACTGGCTGACGAGCCCTAACACGTCTTTTTAGCTCGTCCCACATGTGCTCAATGGGGTTCATGTCTGGGCTTCTGGCTGGCCAGTCCATAACTGTGATGTTCACATCCCGAAGATATTCCCTGACGATGCCGGCCGCATGGTCTCTTGCATTATCATGCATAAAAAGGAAATATGGGCCCACATAGTCCGCGTATGGTATCACGTGAGGTTCTAAGCACTCACGAATGTACCTTTCAGCATTTAATGTTGGCAGCCGTGGTCAAAAGCAACCCTCTCTTCAAAGGAGCATTGTACTAAATGCTCTCCCTTACGTCGGTAGACCTTCTTCCTTCCATCATTGCCATGTAACACAATTTTAGACTCATCAGAAAAGAGTACACGGCTCCAATCTTACTGTGTCCAATTTAAATGACTGCGTGCGAAATGAAGGCGCGCTGTTCGGTTCGCGTTAGTTTGGGCCCATTAGCTGGCTTGTGTGGTACCATATCGCGTTCTTTTAACCTTCTCCGAACAGTTCGAGCGCTCACAGATACTCCGTGGAAGTCGCGAATTTGTTTTTGTATCTCAATGGAGGTAAGGTGACGATTTCTCAAGCTGGTCGTCACGATGAATTGATCCTGCCTTTCAGTTGTGACCCGAGATCGTGGCCTTCCTTGGCGACGAACAAAGCCGCCAGTCTCTAGGTACCTCCGAGCCAGGTAGCTAGGACCAAACGAAACTGAAAATACAAGGTGGGCCAATAGATGTGTCCAGAAGTGTAGTTTGACAGATTATTAGTTATAAACATACAAATCTTGCCTCTTTATAATATTAGTATAGATAGTTAGAATAAGATAAGTATTTAATTGATGAAAAAGATTTAAAAATAAAGTAAGTAATACGTTTATTTGATTATATTTGTAAAAGTTACTTAGCATTTGTGCTTAACAGTGATACGTTACCGTCTTAAAATACTAACTAACTAAAAAGTGTGAAATAAAAAAGGTAAATTTAAAAAATCAAAAAACCCGACTGCTTAATTATACTTCAAATAAAAACTGAAAAGAAAAAAACAAGTCCAGTAAGTAGTCTATAATTCTGTTAATAAGGAACAAAGCTACTTTAACAGTCGGGACCCACTGTTGAAAAATATTATGTATTCTTGAATATCTAATGGGTCCCGACTGTTAAAGTAGCTTTGTTCCTTATTAACAGAATTATAGACTACTTACTGGACTTGTTTTTTTCTTTTCAGTTTTTATTTGAAGTATAATTAAGCAGTCGGGTTTTTTGATTTTTTAAATTTACCTTTTTTTAATGTAATTATATTTAATTAATATAATATATTATCCATAATTGTATTTACGGCTTCCTGTAAGAAATACCCATTTGAAAGATTTCATATGAATATATCTATCTTTTCTGTATATCTAACTAGCTGAACTTCGTATCGCCCAAAAGTCGATGAATGTGGTTATATTAATTTATATTTACTATAATTTAAATGAATGATTTTGCAGCCGCAATAAAACAAATACAAAAAGTTTAATCTAATATATAAAATTCTCGTGTCGCGGTGTTTGTGGTTGAACTCCTCCGAAACGGCTCGACCGATTTTCGTGAAATTTTATATGCATATTCAGTAGGTCTGAGAATCGGATCTAATCTATTTTTCATCCCCCTAAATGTTAAAGGTAGGGGTGGATTCCCCTAAATTTTTTTTTTCAATTTTAGATATTTTTTTTTTTAATTTTTATATGATACTGCATAAGTAAATACATATAACCCTAAATTTTCACCTTTCTACCACCAATCCCTATTTTTTTTTGGTGGTACGAAGTTCGCTGGGACAGCTAGTAGTTTATAAGAATAATATACCTTTAAAGAGAAAATGAAATTTCAATAACTTTTACTTTAATAGTGTATCAGCGAAATTTCAAACGAGGTTTATTGTTTTCCAGGGTTACCATGTATTTGCCTAATAACTATTCTCCAAACACAGACATCCCTTAATCTCTCAGTACCCTACGACTTCTTGGGAAAGTAGGAATACTTCTATATTTTTGGAAAATTAAACCAAATGGAGTAAAATTCATGTTATAATGAAATGAAAACTGCGATATTGATATTTATATTATATGATTGATGCAGTATAGTGTTCAAGTTATATTCATCGTTGCCTTACCAAAATATCGGCTAGTATTGCAACTTGTCTTATGATTACAGTATTTTCTTTAAATTACAATATCACTCTCTAAAGCGATAATTTTCTATCTATATTGTAGTAACAGATTTGCAGAAGGTACAAATAAGCTTTG